GTTGCCTGTCTTGGCGCGCTTGCAGAGAGGCAGGCTGTCTGCGGCTGATTGAACAGGCGGCCAGTAGCGGTCCTTGTGGGGCGAACTGAAGACCAGGCTACGGACTGTGGATAACAGACTACTGGCTGCGGCAGAACACCGCACGTTGTTGCTAACCGTGGTGAGTGGTTGTTGTTGGTAACTGTGCACGGCTACTGCTGCTATGGCCTGTGCACAAACGGCGGCAAGCTGTTGGTGGCTGCCTACGGCTGGGGTCTGCTGATGGTCACTACATAATGCGTCGTAATGCTGCCCAGTTATAGCTGGCTGTGACAATCTGTTGTGCAACAACAATTGGGCTAGGAAGGCATGCGTGGATGAGCAGCTGTAGGAAGGCAGAGTAGCAAGTGTTGTGCCTATGCGACAGGCTGTGTATAGTGGACTAGTGGTTACTTTTATCTGTTTTTGCATAGTGTTGAGTGGCACTACATTATTGGACGCTCACTTGCGGTGTATTTTGCTGCTTGGGCTGCTTTCCTCTGCTATAGTATTAACTGGTCTGTTGTAGGTTGTTGTTGGTGGTAAGACCGGGGGTGTTGCGGTGCTGCTGCGTCCATGGGTTGTGGGCGGACTCTTTGTTGCTGCTCACCGTATGCTGCTACCTACCGTTGATGACTGTTCCAGGCTCTTGCGCGGCCGCGCAGGGTGACTTGGAGAGGTGTTGAGGCTTAGAGGGGTGCTAAGGGAGGACGCGTAAGGGGGATTATTGCTGCGATCTAGAGGGCCGTCAGGGGGCTCTGACTGCGGCGGGTTGACTATGGATTGACCAAGTTGTGCAGGATTGGCTTCCATTGCGGGGCCCTCAAGCGAATCAAGGAATCAAGGCCCCCTCCTGTGAGTCTAAGAGCACCCTCCTTGGATATGAGAGTCTAATACCCTTTATTTCTGCCTTCCTCATTCTAAGTGTAGTCCATTGGTTCTGAGAGGAAGGCGGCAGGCGGGATTGCAACCCGTAATCCGCGCCAAGGCCTTTGTCGGAGGTTGCCCCACCGATTGCGGGAGCTCTGCCGGAGCCTAGGCGAGGCTCTAGAGGCCGGGAACTGAGAGGTAACCATTCCCTTCCCTCTATACACCCTGGTATAGCCCTTATTTTTACATCCTCCTATGTTTGACTGAGTATACTGTATGCACCCCTACCTTGACTTTGGATTGACTGGCAGGATATAAGATAGATTAAATAAAGAAATGTTTGTGCAATTACAGTCTTAGTAAGGCAGATTGTGAACACAAGGGGGTGCATCTGGTGGAAGGGTGGGTGAAAGGTGGTTTTGCTTGAGCATGAATGGGTCCTATGGGGTCAGACCAGTTCCATAAGATCGGACGGCCTGACCGCTGTGTTTATTTATGAATTGCGAGGAGAGTGAGACCAGTTTCATAAGATTGGACGGCCTGATTGCTCTGAATAGTGAGGGTTTGACTGTGGCTGACTTTTCAGGGGCCAAACCTGTACCATAAGATTGGAGGGTTTGGTTGCCATGTTTGGTTGTGGTTTTGTTCTGTTTCTTTTGTTTTTGGTCGCGGAGGTCTGAGCAAGTCCATAAGATTGGACGGCTCGGCCCCTTTCTAATTCTCGCTGGGGGCAAGGCATGTCCATAAGATTGGACGGCTTTGGACTCATGCCGCACACATTGGATCAGAGAGAAACGAACCTCGCAAAGGACCAAATATGTTCCACAAGATTGGACGGTCTGGCCAAATGCCTCGCACATTCCGGAACCCAAAAGGTTAAATTTTGGCTATATTTTATACTATCCTATTTATGAACAGGCTAGTCAGGCATGGGTTCCATAAGATTGGACAGCCTGGCTATAGCTTATCATGAAATGAAGAGAGTATAACTGAGAGTATAATTGAAGGTAACCCTGAGCATGCTGGGGCTTGTTCTAAGATGAACGGCTCAGTCCTATGCCCAACTTTTGAACACTTAGCTCAGAGAGGTATATATAATTTGGATATTAAACAGTTCAGGGCGGCTGAGCCTTATTCTAAGATGAACGGCTTAGCCATATGCCCAAAAGGAAGAGAGAAGTAGTTGTGCAACCTGTTCGTGTATACTCAATGGCTGAGTCAGGCAGGTTCCATAAGATTGGACGGCTTGACTTTATGCCCTATGTAAGTTGGGTATAAGGAAATAAAGCATCGAGAGATTACGAACTATTGTCTGCCAAGTTGGCTTGGGGATGGTGAGAGTACTTACCGTTGTGGTTTGGCATTGCATGTGGCTGAGTAAGGCTACTAATTACTTTGAGGTTCAGGTTGACAGGTAATTGCTTTAGAGGCTCGCCACGTGCTAGAGTGATAGGAGTTAGCTTCAGTTTCTGCATTTTCTGAGCTAAGTTTTTTTACTTGGATCGATTTTCGCATTTTTTTGGATCTTTTGGTATACTTGGCCTTGTATAAATTTTGGTAAGTTACTTTCCTTACGGGAAGCGCTGCCAAAATTTCTACAAATCCAAGGAGTTAGTTAAATTTTGGCTTCAAAGTTCAACTTGTCTAAAGTTCATACTTGGCTTAGTAAAAATCTGGAAGGTCTCCTTTTCTGAAGGAAGTGGTGCCCAATTTTTTGCTAATTCAAGGAGTTAAACAAAATTGGACTTTGAAAACTCAAAGGATATTTTTGTTTTCATATTCGGGTTGATATAAATTTGGGAAAGACACTTTACCTACAGGAAGCGCTGCCGAAATTTTCTTGATTTAGAGGAGTTAGATTTTTTTTTGACAGGTGGCGATTCTGGCAATCCACCCCGAATAGGGGAGATTCTGCCGTTAGTCTACCTTTGCTTTGGGCACTGGCGTAGAGGTAGGCTTAAACTTAGTTGGCACATAGCTATGAGTGAGGATGTACTATGGAGATTCATCCCCAAAGGATGATGTTTTAGTTTGGGCCTTGACCTGTCTCATGGTACATGATTTTCTTGGACATTCGATTCAGAACTTGGGCTAGTGTTAGCTTGATCCTACAAGGATCACCTTCTGTTATCACTGATAACAGGTCGGTTGCCGATTTGTTGGTCTACGACTCAATTCAAACTCACTCTTCACACCCATCCTAAAAGTTTTTAGCCCTGGTGACTTTACTGTTTGTTGAGGGTTTCACCCGGACTTTTATTGAATGACCATTTAACAAAGGTACTGGGTATTTTATTATGGTTGATTGGGTGGGAGATTGGGGCTTGCATGGCTAAAGCAAGGGGTATGAGTGTGGAGATTGGTTGGGGTTAACTCCGTGTAGCGGGTGGTTGCTGCTCATTTCCTTGATGTATTTGCAGGTAGACCTTGTGGCTCGGATTTGGATTTGGGGTTGCCTGCGATCTCATATATGTACTTATGGTTGTAAGAAGTCTCACTGTGCCTGTGAGCAGTGATCGTCGCAACTTTATCTCCCCTATGTGTATATGCTTGGGCGTATTTACTGTGGGGGTTCGCGAGGCCGGGGTTGCGATTACCACATACGACTAACATCGTTGGTCGGCATGGGACTGGCTAGCAGCCGCGCAACCTTATGTAAAAATCCTGCGTGCGAGGGCTCGCCACCCCAACGTCCAGAGGTTATGGGATCGGGAGGCTCGCACATAGACGCAAATGCTGAGGTCACTGTAAGCCGTGGGCATCACCCAAAGAGAGGGAGGATACCCCCAAAGGATCATGACCCTGGCTGGAATAAGAGGGGGGCCCTCGACCCATTCGTCTGTTTTTTAGAGTTTTTATGGTTGGACGCTATGGTCCGTGGCAGCCGTCAAAATCAAACCCCTTGATGTTTGACCACCACGACAGCTTAAAGTTGTCTACTCAACCCCTCTGCACAGGGTGCAGAAGAGGGTGTGGTGTTCAACTGCGCATGGCGGTTGTCCGGCGTTGAAAGATTAACCCTCAATGCGCGTGTCAGCTGACACTTGAGTGTCGAATGCGACCCTCGAGACTAACGAGGGCCGCACGATTATGGGCACTACATAGTACGCCATCATTGCGACTGCTTGCGTACGTTTGCACCGCGAGCGATATGAGTTAGCCCTGCGTTCGCGCAGTTTTATATTAAGTCTCGCGCGCGATACCTATTCGATTTCCGCATCGGAAGGTTATGGGTTGGCTACCGAGGGGCTAGGAGCGTTGTCGCGTTGTGTGTTCTGTTGTGTTGGATGTGCATGTGTTTGTGCTTTATTTTTGTGTTCGTAAAGTGGTGTGCGCGTGGTGTGTGGGATGCGTCCTAGTTGACGGACGACGAGCCGCGCTTGGGACTTCACCCCCCCAAGATGTCAGTTTGCCTGCGGGCCCGACAGGCGTATTACTGCGCGTACCCCCTATGCTACAGCGAACGAGAAACGCCCTCGGCTGGTCCACCTCTGCGATTGCAACCGAGTAGGTTTCGTACCGTGGACTGGTAGCTCGGCGGGGATACGCCCACCGAAGGGAGGTGACAACTCCCGTAAGGTGGAGGTAAGTTGTGCCTCGCGTAGGCCCTATCCAKTCGTAGGGGCTCGCGAGAGATATGGCTGGCGCACTCGGCCGGAGCGGCCTAAGGAAGCTCCATTTGCGTGTTCGTGACGAGGTTGGTCCAACTCCTGCGTGACGTGACCGAGAGGGTCCTGCGCTGCCACGTGCGGTGCCGGACCGATGCGCTCGACAGGTGGCGCTGTCGCCGGGGATGACGGAAGCCTACTGTTGTCCCTGGTGGAACGACATCCGGGTATGAGAACGAGAGAGAACTAAGCACGTGAGCAAATAAGAGAAGAACTATGAGATGGATCGTATAGTAGTCTATATGGCTGTGTGGGTGTGAATGCTGATTTGATTGGTGGTTTGGCTGATGGGATGAACGAGGTGAGTATGTGAGTGAATTCTGTGATGAGAATGGGTCTTACTTAGGTGAACCCAAGGGAGGTAAGAAGTAGAGAGAGAAATGCCTGCCAGGTCCAGAGCGTCGGGTGCTTAGGTGGTCAGCCCGATAGGATCATGAAGGAATGGGCTGCTGAGTGGAACCTTTCGTCCTATCGCTTCTTATAACAGGGGGATTGAAGCCGTAGACAGTTAATCAAAATGCCTGAGGAAATGGCGGACGGTGGGAGGAAGCTTGTAACACTCGACGACCTCATCGATGCCCTGGATAAGCGCGAGAGGGCGCCGAGCAATGTTGCGAACGTTGATACTTTTCACTTCAAGGGAGAACGGGTGTCCGACTGTCTGGATCTAACGGAGCAAGCACTGGTGGGGCTGTCGGACGAGGTCAAGCTCCAGCGAGTCCTAAGATATGTCCTTCATAGCCACCATCAGGAAGTGGGCAAGGTCGTGGATGCCGCGAATGGTAGTTGGGCGAGGTTCAGGGACATGATGCAGAGAAAGTACAGGTTGGGGGATGGCTTGCTAACAATGGCGGATTTGGAGGCCATGAACAAGGATGACTTCTCCACGATCGGGGCGCTTGTGCACGAGTTTAAAAGGAAGGCGTGGAAGTTGCACGGGATCTCCGAAGAAACGCAGTGTGCCATATTCTTGGGTCTGCTTACTGGCTCGGAGGCCTCGGAGCTAACGGGTCACGAAGGGGGAAGTGAGAAACTCACCAGGGCCACTATTGACAAAGGGGTGGAAGAGGGGAGCCTGAACCAGGTGGAACAACACCAGGTGCGGCTGCAAAGGCGCAAGAGAAAGGAAAGGGACGCCACCGCGTCCGGGACCCCAGGGGTGAAGAGGATTGTCACAGACGTATTCGCAGCGTTGGGGTATGATAATGAGGCGGAAGTGCAATCGAGGGGAGTGACCGTGGCCCAAGGCCAGGCATCGGGGGCAGTGGAAGAGGAGGCTAGGCGCGAGGACTATGGCGGAGAAGAGACCGGCTCCCAGATCCTAACCAAGGCCCAGAGGAAGCTACGGAATTTACAAGTGGGGGGTCAAGGATCCGGAAAAGGGCAGGTCCCGCAAGCGATTGCTGCGCCGCCACCTGCTGCTACGACAACATCAGCGACGGTCGGGCCGTCATGTATGGGGCCGCCGTCGGCTTGTGGGCACTGGGTGCCGCATTGTCAGCCTGCATCCTGTCCCAGTTGTAATCACTCCACCTCGTGCGGGGACAGTCAAACTCACCCCGGGCAAATGGTCCCTTATGCAGGCCCAGCGGCAAGTATGGGGCCCCCGAGCTATCCTGCGGCCCAAGGTCAGTTTGTGGCCCAACCACCTCCCTCCCAACAGGCCTCGCAGGCTAGCGTGGTCGGTGGAGGAAACCAAGGACAAGGCGGACAAGGCAATGGAGGCCGAGGTCAAGGGGGTCGAGGAGGTGGCGGCCGAGGCCGGGGAGGAAATGGTGGGGGTCGTGGGGGTGGTTGGAATGGTCAAAGGGGCCAAAACCAAGGTGGTCGGGGCAGCCAGGAAGGGGGCCAAGGGTATGGGAGGCCCCGCTTTGATTGGCGAAATGCCACTTCTTGGCATTGTGGCGATGTGGGCCACACTGTGCGGTTCTGCGAGCGGCGGTGGGAGGATGAATTGTCAGGGTTAATCTCCTCCTGTATGGACGGGGATATATATGACAAGTGGCGTGAGCATATCGACCCCAGGACCCCGGGAGGAATCAGGCAGGAGGCTCTCCGACAAGCAGCAGCGGGACCCACAGCACCCCCGACAATGTTTAGGATGTGGCAGGAGAAGGAAGAGCTGACCGTAAGAGTCGAGGAGATTGTAGGGGATAGTGAGGAGGTCACTCTGCGACTAAAGGCGGGGACTATAAGGGAGGAGCCAATAGTCGTCGAATCGGATCACGAGGGGCAGGAAGGCGAAGGAGAGCCGGCCATAGTCCTCCTGGGGAGGATGGAATATCTGCTGGAAAAGGTGGGAAGGTACCAGTGGAAGTTGCACGCCCTGTGTGAAGAAGCCCGAGAGTGGGAGGCCAATCTGCCTGAGGTCTTCCTCTACGACTCCGGACCTGAGCCTTCGCCAGGACAATAGGGGTACCCAAGAGTGGCGACTGTAGGGACGGACCCTAGGTCAGGTATGGCCTATAGACCCCCCACGTCGCATGGGAGGGTGCCGCAGGCGGCTCGGACTAGGAGCCAGAACAAGGTCGGGCCTAGCCAAGAGCCCAGTCAGGCACCCCCTCGAAAGGAGCTTGAGCCAGGACGTAGGAAAGAGGTGGCGGAGGTCCCGGAGGTAGAGGAAGAGGATGACGACGAAGAGGATGAGAGGCTTCGACAAGAGGAGGATCAGCGGGCGGAGCTGAGGGCCAAAAAGAAAGGAGCCCGGGAGGAGGCCGAGCCGAGCCTACCCGACAGCGTACCAAAGAGGAAGAAGTACGCGGTCCGAATGGAGGAAGGTTTTGATGTGGAGTGGATGGTGGACAAGCTCATTGAATGCCACAATGACTTGATGAACCTGAAGGATATCCTGGCGTCGGCGCCAAGGCTCCGTGGGGAGTTGAAAGGGCGACTCTCGCGAAGATTGGTGCCAAATGTCCATCTGAGTATGGTCCTGCCCAGGGAGGTGGAGTGGACTGAGGCAGGGACAAGGATGGATTGGAAATGTGTGTCGTGCGGGCAGGTGGATCTGGTGATAAAGAACCAGAAGTGCACTAGGATGGTGGACACGGGCGCAAAAATGAATATCATCACGGAGAAGGAGGCGGTAATGATAGGCATGGAAATCGACCGCTCGGACCATGGCATACTGCATGGCGCTAACTGCAAGGCCGCTTTTTGCAGCACGGTGTCTAATGTGATTATAGAGATAGGGAAGGTGCGAGCCAGGACGTGCTTCTTCGCCATGCCCAATGTCGATCATCCCATCCTTCTGGGAAGACCGTTCCTATGTCGAACGGAGATGTTGATTTTTAATAAGCACGACGGGACAATGATCCTGCTCCTATGCGACCTTGCGTGTGGGAATTATGAAGTTATCACCTGCCGGAACACTTGGCTGGGGAGCGGGAGGAATAGGCCTAATCTCGACTCATTCACTTTCGAGGAATCGAAAAATGAGCGAAGACGGCTTTGGGAAGTGCCCGAGGAATAGGATAAGGCTGAGGTGCTGACACTGAGCCTTACAAATGTGAATAAGGCCATGGAAGTGGTGTCGGCTCGTGACATGGCGGATCCGGAGGCCATTAAGGCATTGAGGGAGCAGGTTCTGGAGAACCCTCAAGTGGGAGAGGTGGAGTTGGTGTATCGGCTTCCAGGAGCGGGAGGAGGCCCTGCAATGGCCCAGGCCCGAACAACAAGTCGGGTTTTTTTAGGGGAGGGCTTAAGCAGGGCTCCCAAAGGCGGTACAAGACCTTAGAGAAGAAGTGTTGCCCTGTTCCTGCTCGTCACGGAGGATGAGGAAGCCGACTACGAGCGGGAACGAGGATTGATACGGCGTATGCGGGAGCACGCGTTGGCCGGGCCGTGACGTATCGACGGTGAGAATGAGGGGAAGCTGATAATTGGGGAGCCCGACTTCCTGTCGCCCCACGAAAGAGCATTGATGGTGGGGCTGATGAAGAAAAGACACCGCGCGTATGCGTTCAATGGCGACGAGCGTGGGAGGCAAATGTGGACAAGATTCCGATGATACGAATCCACACTATTCCACACGAGCCATGGAATCTAAGGGGCGCGCAATACCCAAATCCGGATGAGGAGAAGAAGGTGGTGGACTACTTGGACGGCAAGATGCGGACGCATGTGGCCGACTATTCCAGTGGACCGAACGCATCGCCTTGGTTTTGTTTTATTAAACCAAATGAGACGCTAAGGTGAGTGCAAGACTTGCAACGGCTAAATGCGGTGACAGTGCGGGATGCGGGGGGGTTGCCGAATGCGGACGCATTGTCAGAATCGTGCGCAGGGAGGCCTATAATCTCGCTCATAGACGTTTACTCTGGGTATGATCAGTTCCTTGTATACCCGCCAGACAGACCCGTAACAGCGATGGATACACCCTGAGGGCTCATTCATATGAACGTGGCGCCTCAAGGTTGGACAAACGCAGTGGCGATGGTGCAAAGACACATGATTAGAGTCATGCAGACGGTTAGTCCACATATTACCCAGCCCTACATCGATGACCTGACAGTCAAAGGTCCGAAGGAGAAGGAGGAAAACGAAGTGATGCCCGGTGTGCGGCGCTTTGTCTGGAAGCATGTCCAAAACATCGATCAGGTTTTGGGGTTATTGGAGGAACATAACCTGACGGCGAGCGGCCCCAAGTCGAAACATTGTATGAGGGAGGCCACGATTCTAGGCTTTGTCTGTAATGAAAGTGGGCGAAGGCCTGATGTAAAGAAGACAGACAAGATTCTTGAGTGACCGGTGCCCTTCCGCTCGATAACGGATGTGAGGAGCTTCCTTGGGACGTGCGGATTTTGGAGGAGCTTCGTGAAGGACTTCGCCACGAAGACGGAGCATTTAAGGAAGTTGGTACGCTAGGATCAAAAATGGGTCTTGGGGGAAGACTAGGAAGAGGCGGTGGGTAGGATGAAGGGAGAGTTTAAGGAAGGAGGCTTGGTATTGGGAGCGCCAAACTATGAGGCCACGAAGGAGAGACCATTCGTCATTGAAACGGACGCTGGGCCAACTGCCTTGGGAGGAGTCCTGATCCAGGCAGATACCGAGGGGAAGGAGAGGCCGCTAAGATTTGAAAGTCGTACCCTCAATACAACTGAGAGGAACTACTCTCAGTTCAAGAAGGAAACGCTGGCGGTACTTTTGCCTAAGGACCTTCTGGAACTATGTTTTTGGCAGGAGGCTCATCTTGAGGGTGGACCCTACTGCACTGGCGTGTTCCCTGAAGAATTATACTCCATCTGACCCAACCGTCGCAAGATGGTTGACCTACATCTGGATGTTTAATTTCGAGTTGGAAAGGATTCCAGGGAACACGAACAAGGCAGATGGGTTAAGCCGCATCAACAGGGACGGATCCGACCACGAATCAATAGAAGATGCCCCACCAGTTGATGGTTTTTTGGACCAGCAGGAGGACGTCCGCCTGCATATAGACGAGTGGTCCTTGTGAGTACCCAGTTGCGTCAGCCACCCTATATGGTTAGCGCCAAAAGGGTACGATCAGAAGGAAGAGTTGGTCCTAAAGTCTTTTCAGGAGGAGGATCCGTGGGGGAGCAAGGATGTTGGTTGGATGATGAAGTTGGCGTTGGCAGGAACGCACAGTTTGGTGGAGGAAGTGAGGGCAATAGAGGAAGGCCCCACTCAAGTAGAGGAGCATGAGCAGCTAATGGGAGGAATGTACCTGCTCACGAATACGCTCATGCAAGGAGACTTCGACCGGAAGGGCTCGTTCAGTCATGAGGAAGATGAGATTTTAGTTCATGAAAGTCAGGATGACGAATTCGAGGAAGGAGATATCAAGGAGGCGTTTCGGGCGGAGAAGTACGATGGGATCTACCGGGAACTGGGGTTGCTCCTATCATGTGAGATGAGGGATAGAGATGCAAGTGCCAAAGCACAGAAGATGAGGCACCTCTATGTGGTAAGAGACGACCACTTGTTTATAATGCGGCAGGTCGGGAACCCCAAGAGGATCGTATGTGGGAGGAACCGGCAAATTGATATCATAGCAGCCCTACACGATGGTATAGCAGGGGGGCACAGAGGAGTAGGTGTCACATGCGCAAAGATAAGCGAGCTCTACCATTGGGATGGGATGCTGACGATGGTTATCAAATACTGCCAGTCCTGTATACCTTGCCAAGAGAGGTCAGCGCAAAGGCCTAGAGAGCCCCTACACCCAAGGTTGGAAAGAGAAGTGGGTGCGGTCGTACACCTGGACCTGTTATTCATGCCAGCAGGGGAGAATGGGTGAAACTACATCTTCGATGCACGGGATAACCTTACTAGGTTTGTGGACGGACGAGCTATCCGGACAAAGACTGACCAGGTTTTGGCGAACTGCATCGAGGAGTGCTACCTGCGATATCCTTTTGTCAAGGAGTTCGTGATGGATTGAGGATCAGAGTTTACCTGCAATGAGGTGAGGACGTTGCTTACAGGGTATGGCGTAGTGGCCAACTATACTACGGCCTCGCAACCCTCAAGCGAATGCTCCTGTGGAGAGGGGGCATAGTACCATCACGAATCTCCTGGCTAAGTGGACAGAGGGTAAGCCTGGTCAGTGGCCAAAGTTCCTACGGGCAACTTTCTTCGTGGAGAAAGTTACTGTGAAAAGGACCACCAAGTATGCGCCAGCCACGCTACAGTACGGGAGGCACGCCACTTTTCCCATAGAAAGCTTTATGAAGACGTGGAGGCGCCAGGACTTGGAAGTGAATTTTCCCTTCGAAGAACTGCTCGATATTCGAGCGCGGCAAGTGGGGGCGGCCGAAGAAAGATTGCGAGAGGCCGCTGGTCAAGTAGAAAGGAGTCGCATGGAAGATAAGATGAGGTGGGACCAGATGGCGCGAGTAAGGAAGGAGCCATTGGCAGTAGGGGATGTCGTATTACTGTACGACTCCTCTTTGGAAAAGCAATGGTCGAGGAAGCTTGACAAGAGATGGTTGGGCCCCTATAGAATCTTGCGATGCGGCGAATTTGGGGCCTATCAGATCGAGGAGCTGGACGGGACAGGCTGGCAAGATTGGGTATCAGGGACCAGGCTGAAAAAGTTTGTGGCCAGGGAATAGGTAAAGAATCCTACCTTCCTCAGAGGGAACAAGTCCTTGAGGTGTTGCATGTTATGGTTAGGACAGGTGAGGGAGTAGGAAAAGGCATGTGTGTTGTGATAAAAACCTAACGAACCGAGGGCTAACCTTGTTATGTGCTTGCTTGCTTTCTCTCGCCTGTTGTGCAGGTCTGACTTTCCGAAGACAGCCATGCAGAGGGGCGGGAGGGGCGCGCGGCCACGACAAAGGCCTCAGGGAGCATCAGGAGGCGATAATAACATAGAGCTCTTTCTAGACTCCTACCAGGCACATGCGGCACGGGAGGGTTGGTCTACCTTGGAGAGGATACGACACCTGAGGGGAGTTGGGCGTTTTGAGGAGTTTTTTGCGCACATCCGGGAGGAGGCTTTGACCTATCAGGATGTGGAGGCGGGGATGCAGATGTTGAGGGCTTCGCCACTGGGACTGGATGGGCTGCCTATTCGATTGGAAGAAGGCAATGTGGAAGAGTTCATCCCGGCCTATGAGCAGTATATGCGCGACCAGGGGACTGGGCAAGAGGAGTGGATGCAGACGCTGCCCCTCTGGACGCGGAGGGCGGAGAGGCCGTTGGCGAGGCAGATCCGGGACAGGGCACGCGACTGGGAGGACTGCCAGGCCCAGTTGAGGCAGGCATTTCGACGACTGGAGCCCGAGAGACCAGAGCCCAGGGTGGAGAGACGACAGAGGAGTAAGAGGCCACGGGGCCCAGAGGCGAGAGGGGCCACTACGACTAGAGGGGGCAGAAAGGCCTTGGCGCAGCGAGATGGGCCAGCAGAGGCCGCCCAGGCGGTGGAGCCAGTTCAGGCCGCGGGGCCAGCTCAGACGGCAGAGCTACCCCCTACCTATGGACTTGAGCGGGTGGAGTTTCGCCGAGTCACGGACAGTGATCTACGGGGCCCGTCGCTGACATTACCAGAGGGAGGAGAGGCGGTGCCATTGAGGACGCCGCTCGATAGGTTGGAGGCTCATCTCGATGCATCCCAGTGGGGGGCGTCACAGCTGGGAGCGGACCAGAGCGGACCGGCACGATATGAGCCAGTAGAGGATGAGCCAGAGGAGGAGCCACCTGAGCCGGGGCCCGAGGCAGGGACTCGTGGGACCGGGGGGCCGCAGACCGAGGGGGTTATCACTATTGGGGATGATACCCCTCCCCCTACCCCGATTCCTAAGCAGGCGCGGCAGTATTGGCCTGAAGGAATTCCTGAGCCGGACAGTGAGGAGATGTTGGGGCCTCCATCGGAAGCTACTACGCCACCTCCGACATGGGCGAGACCAGAGGAGGGCGAGAGGGCGAGGACACCTACTACTGTGGCGCCGCAACTAACTGAGCCTACAGGTGCACGCATGGATGTGGAGGTGCCGACCTCGGGGAGCCTCCGCCAAGGCCGCCACCCACAGAGGAGGGGACAAGTGAGAGAGACCCACTGCGAAAGCCCCAAAAGGCGCGGGCGGGCAAGGAGGCCATCAGGGGAGACGAAAGAAGAGAAGCGCGAGAGGGTGCAGGTACGCCTCGAGGAGTTATATTAGGAGAAGATTAGGATGGAGGCCGCAGGAGAAGCGCCAAGGCCGCCAATTGACCCTCCGACGAGCGAGCAGAGGATTAGCGAGGTTTGGGCCAGCTACGAGGGTGAGAGGGAGGCTGCTCGCCTGAGGTCACGAGAGGCAGGACAGGAGAATGCGAGGGTGGGCGAGGCAGGAGAGACAGAGGACTTGGGATTTTCCGACGCCAGGATGGAGATTGAGCGTACAAACAGGAGGATAGGTGAGGTGGCGATCTCGTCCTTCCAGCGGTACTCCATGCTCAGCGATGAGTTGGCGGCCTCGAGGTCAGAAGTGGGACAATTGTCCACCCAGTTGGCGGAAGAGAGGGCAGAGAACCAAGCGTGGAGGTCCCGCATGGAAGCCAAGGAGGCGGAGTGGGAGAAGAGGCTCCAGGATATGGCAGCAATGGTAGAGAGGCTCTCGGCCACTAAGGTGGTCGACTGGACGGAGCAGAGCCGGTATGCTATCCAAGGGAAGGAGGTACAGGGGCTCTTTGGCCAGGAAGGAACGACAAAGACGCCACAGCAAGAGGGAATGGGAAAGGTATTCCCGGACCCAACAGAGGCGGCGACAAGGCGGGAGGCCGAGGAGAGGAGGTTCAGCTTCAGGACTCCCACGGAGTTGGCCTCGCAACAGGCCACCGCTATGACGATTGAGGTTCCTGGGGACGAGCCGGCGCAGAGACCCCAACCTCCGGTGGCGGAGGGGGGCCCTACAGAGGAGTCCCCTACGATCCTTTTGGAGGTGCAGGAGGGTGCCCTTACGGGAGCAGCAGCATCCATTGAGCCGGAGGTAATGGGGGGAGAGGCGTCTCGACTGGACGAGTTGGTGGCAGCTATGGAGCTGGACATGCCGTCAGGAGAGCCTCAGAGGTAGGAGACCCCGGAGCGCGTGCCAGAGATAGGGGAGATGAGGACGCAGTTAGGCTCTTGGGCTACTGAAGCTGACTCGGGAGAGCACATCTCAGAGCAGCAGTAGGAAGTTCTGAGCGAGCCAGCGACTACCGTGACTCCCCAGCCTTCTGACCTGCATAGGGACGAGGGGGCGACTGCGATGGGAGGAGTCCGCGAGGGTAGGCCACTGAGATTGGACACTCGAGCCTACCGACCCGAGGGAGATGAGATGCTAGCAGGGACGAGTACCCAGATGATGGAGGCAGGACCGACAGAGTCATGGAGTATGCCCCAGAGCCATGAGATGAGCAGGGAAACTAGTGAGACGCCGCCGTTGCCTGGGTCCCAGAAGAAGAAGAGGAGGTGTCGAGGGAGATCAGACGATCAGTGCTTCTTCTCAAAGGACGACGTACATAGGGCTCTTGAATGCCCGAAGTTCCTTAAGGAGAAGGCGGCTGGGAGAGTGACAGAGAGTGGTGGGAGGATGTACGACAGACAGGGGCGAGTGGTAGAGCGGGCTCCAGATGGGGGTAGGGCACAGTTGTATAGACAGAACCAGGAGGCCATGAGTGAGTAGGGGATGGCCTGTCTATATGACAGTAGGACTAGAGTTCCTCTGTACCCAGAAGTCGGGTTAGGGATGTACGTACTCGCAGTCGGTTGAGTGGGTCCAAAGGAGTGTGCACGTCTGAGTTCGCCGTGGGAGTCCTGTCTAGTTGTACGTACATAGGTGGCAGGGCTCAGTCGGTCATTGGGGTTTGTGTGTGATACAGTTCGGCGGGTGAGATTCAGTTGTGAGATACCTGTGACTGTGTGATTTGTACATTAGGTTTGGAGGTTTGGAAACCTTCTTTACATTTCTGATTGGATCCTGAGAGCCATAACACTTGGGGAGTGAGTCCACCCTGTAGAGTGTATAGGGAACTGAGTGTTGAGTTGTTCACTGGGGCGGGCATCCTATTCCTAGGTATATCCTAGGAATTGTGTGCGTGAGAGCTTGAGTTGAGTATTGTATTGAGACTTGAGGGAGATATTTTGCTCCCGAGTATATTTTGATTCCACTCTCTGTGGGATTTACTCTTGTGACGATCACGATCACTCTCACACGTGTGGCTTAATCCCAATGAACAAGGGCTTTGTGTGAGAGATGTGTGGGATACATCTCATGTATGTGTATTGTGTGATTGTGATTGTCGTCTACTCTTCGGTATACTCGTGCGACCTGCCCATGGGCGGGTGAAATGACCGAGTATAAGGGGAGGCAGCCCGACTGTTTGGTGACAGATGTGTGAGGACCCTAAGGGGTCTTGCGCGCCTATAAGACTCGAATGCTTACCATGCTGAATGTTTATGGCTAAGTTGTGAAAGAGGCCCATAAGTTGGCTCCCCAGTTTGAGTTGTCTTGCGTATGAGATGACAAAGAAGACCCCTAAGTAGGCCCTCAGTGAGTTGCTCTATGGTGGAGACCCCCTTCAGATTATGGAGGGTGGAAACGCTGGTTATTGACTATTATACAACCGAGGTCGCGTGATAGTCTATCCAATGAGAAGAGAGGGATGGTTGGGAGACCTATTACGAGAGACCCCCTTCATGTGAAAAGAGGGTAATAGATTTAAGGGCATGATAAGCAGTGTTTGAGTTGATAAAGCCTGACGGGAGGAACCAGAATTACAGACAGGATCATTGGTGGAACTGGGAAGGTCGCAAGTCAGTGCATTAAGATGTCATAGGATGCGTGGGCTGCTGTCTCTGATCAAGTCAGTAGGTCACGACCTTGTGTATGAGTCTGGCGGTGAATCTGTTTGTGATTGTGAAAAGGGGCCATGCTTCCTATGTTGTCCCATAGGGAACTGGTAAACGCCTTTAAGTGAGACAGACCCCTGCGTAGTCCCGCAGTGGGCCTGTGGTCTGTTTTGCGACCCACCGTTCAGACACTTGTAATAATCCCAAGGCATGTTAAGGAATACCAAGCTAAACGGTAAAGGTTAGCACCTCTATGGCGCAACCCCTATTGGATAACTGCAAGCCAGTACAACCTGGTTGCGGACCCGCGTCTACCAATGGGGTAAGAGTTTAAGGGGTTATGCACGCCCCAGGAAAATTACTCCGGTGGGATGGCCGGGGATATGAGTCGAGACTTCGGGTAGTCCTGATTGAATGCTTGTCAGGAGAAAACCTATCGTTGCACAACCAACGACGAAACTGCCGTTAAGATAACAATGCGGTAGGCCGTAGATCTGGCTCGATCAACCAGACTATGGTGGGCCAGGATGGAGACCTAGCATTTCTGTACTAGACTGCAGAAAGAGCTGAGAGGAGATTTATGTATATATATATGTTTGATTGTGAGGATTTTCGCGAGGAAGGCGAGAATGCCTTCTGAGGTCTCGTCTAAAGCCCGCGTCCCCGTATTACTCTGCTTGCAAGAGAGAGTCTAACTGGGACACCCAACGAAAAGCCCGCGTTTGTCTAGGACGAAGGGGAAAGGACAGTTTGAGGTGGCCTTTGGAACTTATGCTGTAGTATTGATGCGGAATACACCTGCGTCCTTGTGTCAGGCCTACGGAAACCCAGGTTAAAACCCTGACAGCATATAGTTATGTCGGCATGGAGTGTTGGAGGCCTCAACCCTGAGTCTGTCGGCTAATCGGAATTGGTTCCGCCCTCGTCAGCATTTGGAGTGTGAATGAGTTTGTAGCCTTCTGATTCTGCGTAGCGACGGGGACGTCGCTTAATATAGTCCGGTAGGCTGTCCGCGCGAATATCCTTACAAGGGTATCCGTCGTGGGTTTTTGCAAACGACAGAAAAGCGGGTTTGGTCGGCATAAGTCGGGCGAGGTACGGCCGCGTCCGGGACCCGTCCTGACTAAGTTAGAGGGTATGTGGGCGCACAGTTTTAAGGTGCGCGTGTGATTTTTCTGGTTGAGTGAGCGGCCGGTCCTGGACCGTGCTACGGTTTTGTTTAGGGGATGAAAGATCGTTTTTGGTTGGCACGCACGATCGACAGTAGGACTGGCACGCCAGTAGGCGCACGGGGCGGCTACGGCGCGGTCTGGGCAGGATGGCGCGGGTGCCTGGTGTTGGCACGCCGACAGCGGTAGGCAAGGAAGGCCTAGGCAGTGGCTCCCAGGCCGGGGCACGGCGCGACACCACTTCATATTGGAATCCACGCCTAGTTGTTCCAAGCTGGGGCATAGCCCTATAGGTTACAATGTTGGACTATTACTACGGGGGTTTGGGGATCGAGGTCAGCATGCGGCATGAGGGAGCACTTTGAGCAGCGGAAGGCTAAGGGGTAGAGGGTTCCGCGGGACTATCCCCCTTTTGTGTTGTGAGGGGAGTCCAATCGCGGGCCCCGCCCCTTGGCGCGAGGCCATCCCCCTCCCGACAATACCTCGGGATGTTTGGTTTGGGCTCGTTCTTTTTATTTTTATTTTTTTTCTTACTTATGTTTTTTTCAGGTTTTTATGGCCCCGTCTCTATTTAAAGGCCGACGATGGTCCGCGGCCGTAACCCCGTTGGCAGACCGAGAGTAAGGAGGCCAAGCGGCCCTCGGCGCTGCCACGGGGCATTACCTCGGTCGGAGTCCTGCGGGGCTTTTGTGGTAGTACGGAGGGGGTTCGCGCGCCCCCCCCCCGACGTAAGGGTAGCATGGAAAGGGGTGGGAGGGGACCTAGTCGAGGGTCGCGCCAGGTTCAGGCGAGGATAGGAGTGAGCGGGGGAGCCAGCACGGTCTCTGCGCGGACGCGAAATGGATGAAGTAGGGGAGGCCGATACCCAGGGCGTTTGGCTTCGACATTCGAATGTCGTCAGGCCGATAGCTCGGCGCTCGGGGTACCAGTGACCACGTTGCAAGGTGCTTGGGGTTGGCAATTACAGGGAGGGAACCCGGAGGGTTCCGTGTTAAGGTGCGTCCGGAGGTAAGAGAGTGCGGGGGCGTTAAGGTATATACGGGGCGGACGGAACCGGAGCGCCCCTGCTATTGTTTTAGAGTCGCTCGTTGACTCATTCTTGCCTCCCCTTCTCAGTTCGTGTGATTGCATGGCCTGGCCGGAGTGCGCTATTCTGAAGCACAGTGCTATGGGGTGGTGCTGGCGCTGTTACGAACGGGCAGCGGGTGACGAGCGCCAGGTGCAGGCGGAGTAAGTGGGCAGGATACAGCGATCGGGGTGAGGCAGCAAGGCTACAGGAATGGAGAGGCGGGGCGACGGGGCGAGGAAGTGGTGAAGTGAACCGGAACCGGAACCGCGTCCGGGTGCAGAAGGAGGCACAAGGAGTTAGGAAGGGGGAGTACGAGGCCACGAAAAAGAGGGATGCACCCTGTCGCATAGGTGCGCCAGGTGCATACAAATTGAAAACGGAGATGGCAGGGCGGGCGCAGTGAAGAACGCACTGCGTTCTCGATCCGGAGTGGAAACGGGAGGGGAAACGTGCTAATCGGACTTTATCCGGCAGGGCGAATTGAGTGGTGGGGTTAGAATGGTGAAGGAGTTAGTGTAGAGGGAGGCTAGTAGAGGAAGGGTTGCGCCGAGAGATGGTGAAAACGGGCAATGGCAGGAAGGGGGAAAGTAGTTTCTCTCTCGATTCCTAACAGAATCGACCGGGAAAAAGTGCTGGCCGGGGGTTTTGAGGGGCGGCGAGCTAGGATATGAAGTTAGATTGGTTGAAAGGATAGTAGAATAGAAGGTAGGAAAGAAAGAGGGTACGCCGGGCTATGGAGGAGGTGAAAACAAAAAAGGGTGGACGGACCTCTCGCTCGTAGATGGACGGGTTCGGCGGGGGAAGACAGTCAACAGGGGCTTTCGGGGTGGGCGACCCCGAATCAAGGTCGGATTGGTGTAAAAGTCAGTATAGGGGGAGATTTAGAACGACAATGAATCTTTCCGCATTTTAGAGGAAGGTTCATCCGTTTTTCCTTTTCCCCATTTCATACACATTCGGACAGGGTTCGACTTTCTGCAGTAGATGGGGGCAGATACAGCGGGAGAGAGAGAGGGAGAGAGACAGAGAGAGGAGGGGTGAGCACGCACTCAGACA